AGCCCAAACTGGAGACAAAACGCTTTCAGTAAATAAAATTAGAGGATTTAAGTCCGGCTATCTAGATGGCCATGACAATTTCTTTTATTAAAGCATTTTTCTTAGACGACTTTAGTGGAATTTTCAACAACACCGGATAAAGGGTTATTACGATTTTTCTGAAAAATAAATCTAAAAAGGTCTGCTACCCTGTATCTTGAACACGGAGCATGAACTTTTCTTCTTCAAATCATCTGTTGAAGATTGACCACATTCTTTACGTATATCGGGAACGACGTCGCACGAATCAACACCCAACTTTATAAGGTATGTATAATTTTTAAGGGTAAATGTACGGAGATATCTACGATGTCTGAAATATGCCTAATATTGATCGACCAGCCAAAGATTGCTAGGGACGAAAGGGGGAAATGCGATGAAAAAACCTTACCATTAGACGATTTTATATGGAGTCATAGGCGGAGATCGGAGAGACTTGAATTATTAATTGAATTTATATTTTATTACAACTGGTAGTATTAATATTTTTTTGCGATTCATAATGACGTGATACCAAACATACATTATAAGAAATAAATATACACAAACACTGAATATTGAGAACAAAATAAATATATTTTTTAGGCAACAAGTAATATTCCTATGTACGCATTATGATTGAACAGCAAAACAAATTATGCATTCTTCTAAAATAGAATACAACAAGTCAAAAATATCTGACTGAATAGAAAAATATAGGAAAACAAAAAGTAATTTCTTGATGAAATAACCCATAAACAACACATAGAATTAGACTTTCTACTGAGATACTAAAAGCCACAAACCAATAGTATAATAAATGAATATCTAAAAATTCTAAAAGGTAGCCAATCTAGTATAGTTTCAATCCTGATTAGAGTCATGATCACTGTCTGAGGAACTGTCATTGCTATCACTTTCACCTCCTATGTTGATTATTATTTCTTCCTGTATTTCTTGAATGAGACTGTCTTTTTCCCAATATTCATCTTCAATTTTTATAACATGTCCAATAACCTTTTGCCAGTCACTGGCACTTACTGAAGCGATGGCCTTATTAGAAATTTCATCTAGTTTTTTTATAGTAAATTCGCCGCTTGTATTATGGCTTCTAATGAAAAATTTTACTTGTGCCCAAATCATCTCTATGGGATTAAACTGACACATATAGGGTGGCGTTCGAAGTGGGGTGTGTCCGAAACTTCTTATTAAATTATCTATCTTATAATTTTTCTCATCAGATGGTGGCCTATGTAGACAAGCTATTTCATAAAGCTCCATTTTTTTAGCATTAGGATCATGCTCTATACCTTTTTTGCTCAACCACGTGATGATGTCTCTTTTTAGAGAAGATCTAGTTGGAGGCTTGTCTTCCAAAGCTGAATGGTAAGGTGCATTATCCATTATTATAATACTATTAGGAGGAATGTTAGGAAATAGTTTTTCAGTAAGCCACTTCGTGAAATTTTCTTGGTTCATTTGACCGTGATAATCACCAGTGGCACAGCCAGCCTTGAAAATGAGACAGGCTCCAGGAACAAAACCATCTTGCGAACCCGCATGAACAATTATAAGTCGTCCTGGAAATGAATAAATAGCCTCATTTTAGTGTTATTTTAAGTTTGCCAACACCTTTTTGAATCACTATGTATAAAAAACATATTTTTGAGAAAAAAATACTTGCAAGGGATTATGTATTCAATTAGACAAATTAAATGAGCACTTATTAAGAATATTCCAAAATTGAGAAAAATGTATAATAAGCAAAATCGAGGTGAAAGAAACTTTATTACCTGTAGAACTTATATTACTCAGGACACCCATAATTTCTTCGCTTTGCCAGCATTTCTTGAAAGTGAGGTCATTATCAACCCAAGTTTCGTCCAAATAAATAATATGCCTTCCTTCTTCCCGGAACTTTTTAATAGACCTAAGATACTTGTATCGCCAATGTAAAATACTGGGTCTTTCCATTAGTAATTTCCTTTTGTTGTGGCATTTACGCCAGTAAAATCCTTTTGCTTTTAAAAGCAGCCTCAACGATTCTTTACCAAATGGAAATTCCATTTCTTCCTTCAGTTTGATTAGAAGTTTACTACAAGTAGGTACCACTTTAAAATCACAGTAAAATTTTTCTATCATTCTCCGAATAATGGAAAAATCGACTCCATCAATTTTTTGGATCACAGAAGGGCGTGATCTCTTTTTTCCGGGAGAAGCTAAAGGCTGTGTGGAGGTTGCATTTTGCCTGTCTTTATCTTCTTTTCTAATTTTACTTATAGTTCGTTCACTAACACCCGTATAATATGCCGCCCTTGCATTTCTAGCTACCAGTGGATAAACGAAAGTATTGTTAGCCGCTTCTGCATCGCAAGCACGTATCACGTTTGCTATTATTTCCCTTGCCTGGCTGTGAATAACTTTCCCATGCTTGAATTCCATTATCACCACTAAACAGTAAATTATATTTTCAAAGTATTTGCCAACTGCCTACGCCTATGGGAGTAGGTTTATAAATGACCGTGCCATCGGCACGTTATTCTAGTTTCAGATAAGATAAGAGTTTTGGACCAATCAGCGACCGGATGTTTACCTGCGGCCTGGGTTTTCCAGCTACATTGCCAAATTCAGCGGAACAATTCTATATCTTAAATATGTTAATATGTATGGACCGCATTTTATGTAGAACATCTGACAACTTCGCAATTTTTTGTCCGCATTCTTTCGGCTTGCAATCTTTCGCTGGTCCAACAGTATGTGCGTAGAATTACTGTGGTTGGAGGTCCATAAATACACCAACGTCAAAAAACTGAACAATACACTCCCCCATCCCCTGCAACCCCTAACTCCCAATTTTTAACTCCTACAATAGTGTTTCCGAAATTATCAGTATCGTCTAAATTGTCAAAAAAAGAAGTTTGAGCGATTTTTGTTTTTTGTTTTTGGCCTTTTTCTCAGCCGCCACTCAACGGATTCAAAAAGCAGTTACGTCTTTGGCATAGTAGCAACATTGCGTAAAAAAAATATATATAGACAACGTCAACATGAGAAGAAACTTTGATAGCACATTTTCACATTCAAGAGCATTGCTGCTACATGGGCACAAAACATTAATTACATAAAAAAAACTATGGACAATTAAAATATTTATTCAGTGAATAAAAGTCCTTTTCTATTAAATCAGCTTTCAATGTTGTTTGAAGCCATATATATTGATGAGGTCTTTTATATGTACCCGCAAACCATTGAAACTTTTTACACCGTTGTAGTTTGGATTTGCTCATATAACCTGGTTTTATAATGGGGCACATTGTTACAGATCTTAGATATCATATATTTATCGAGGTTTTTTTTTGTATGTATGTACATGGTACTGTCAATATTCTTAACTTTCTGGAGTACTGTCTGCAAGATGTCATCTGGGGTAATTTTAGTGCTGCTCTTAAAATTCGTTTCTTGCATATAAATACCTCGGCAGATGTATTGTATCGAAGATTGTACATAAGCAAAGTGAACCATTTTCAAGACTTTAGTACTAACTTGATCTCTAATACTGTATACCAAATAGCAGGCAGAGTTTATTTTCAATAAAGCTGTTGTTATTTGTTCTGTCCACTTCAATGAATGGTCTATTCTCACACCTAGAAACTGTGCAGCGGTCGTTTGAACTATGCCTTTTCCGTTTAATTACACATGAAGTGATTTGATAGTGTTGTTATTGGAGTATGCGATATTCGTTTTAGTGCACCATTCAGCAACATTATCTTCAAGCTTAATTGATTTTTGAGACAATTGTTCTACGATTTTGTCAGCCACTATAGATCAGATCAGATAGATCATTTATGTACACCAAGAATAAAATAATTTCGTTGAAATCCGAGCAGTACTTTTCACGTTATCTGCAGTTATAAGATGAGTGGACAGACCGAAATGGTGGACATGTTTTTTCGTGATGTAAATGTAACAACATCCAAGAAACATAATACCTCATTTTCAAAAATTATCGCGATTACAATACTTCCCCACCAGTAGGCGTGGGAAGTAAAATGGCATTTAGTAGGTTGGCTCACTTCGCGCGTAAGGCTGTCATCATTAGCCCCTATTAGAGAGAAGTGAACCACGAACATGTATAACAGAAAAAAACGATGGTTTAAGTCAGTCAAATAAGTCCACACAACTAGTATGTTATATTGATTTTTTTGACAATATACTGTTTTTTTTTTTTTGCTATTTTACTGGATTTTTTGACTTTATGTGAGTTTCTTTGTAAGATTTAACTGAGTAGTTCGTGTTGCATAAACGTCATGAGGCTTCAGTTATCCATGTTTGGCTCTGATGTGATGTAAAATCTGCTTCAGAGATGGCATTACTGGAGGTCTGAGCTTTAAGTTGTATGTGTTGATGATAATGGAGAAGTTTTTTGATATTCAAAGTCGCATAAGTAATGACATACCAGCAAAATCTAGACAAAATATAATCAGCTAGAAAAAAAAATTGAAATCGGCCAATAAATGACAGAAATTGATACTTAAATTTGGCGCATTATAGCGCGTAATCATAGCTGCCGTTCGTTCGCATCTGTCGTAACACTTCTCTAGTGCCCAGCGTCTCGTCGCGTAGGTGTTCGACAGCGTCTGTGCGTTTAGTCATTAGTCTATACACAATCCATAAGGCACACCTGTGCTCTCGGACACCTGGTTTCCAGTTGATAACTATTGAGTACTGCGGAAGTTCATACCATTATGGACGCCGCATGTGACGGTACGTAGAAAAAATGTTTATTAGGGGATATAACTGTTGTGCATAACATTTTGGAACGGTACAGTATTTATAACAACCTTTTTTTCCTACTTCGCTCATAACCGAGCGTATATGCAGTCAACTAATTAAACAAATTAGGGCGGAAGACGTTTAGCCTACCATGTGTCCCGTTGTATGTGTCCCTATGCATATATTTAGGAGATTGAGTCGGCTCGAGCCCAGGAATCGGCTGCGGCAGGCTTATTACGTGAAAATTTCCAACTCTGGTCGGTGAGCAACCGACCACCAACCGACTTGCGACCGATTGTCGACCGACCGAAAAATTCGTATTCGCTAACGCAGTTGGCAACCGGTTGCCCAACTGTCATTGAATGCAATTTGAATGCAGTTTTTGCAACCGAAACAGCGCCACTAGCAATCTAGTAGCAACCGGTGGAGCTAAAGTGACATACATTTATGATGATAAACAATCGTCGTGTTTATAAATCGAAAAACAAATAAATACATTGTGGATCGTGATTGTGAATTTAAAATTAACTATGGGACCTAGTTTTGTTGAAAATTGGACACGTAAGTATATAATACGATGGTCTGTTCTTAAAAATGAATGTCTGTGTGAGCCGCAGATGTATGGATGTTTACATAAGTCAAGAGTGGACCCTTGATACACACTTAATATATACACACAGTCATTTGTCGACAAATAGATGACACAGTTTCACATAGATTAGCCTTGAAGACTTATCTCAAGACAGAAAGAGCGATGCAAAATAACGCGAGGGTGAAAACAGCTTATTGACAAGTGCTAGATGTTTCTCTAAATCTAAATCAATCAGCACTTGCTGGCACTTACCTATATAGTTCTAGATGACTGCTTGTTCATTAAAGGCTGCAAATGTATCAGAAAACGTGAACATAGTGTTTATTTGTGTTTGAGATTTTGTCTGACTAGGAGGTGTTTGTGTTAATTTTCAAAATGAAATATAATCTCAACATTGCAAATCGATGAGGTACTTGTCTTTGCAGAAATTCATCCTAATTTAGCTAAGGACAGTGTTGGGCTTGGAGGGAGATCAAAGGAGACAATTAATAGAAAGTGGGACAAATTAGCGATATGTCTGAATTCTCATGGATCTGGAGCTACAAAAAATGGACAATGCTGGAGAAGGGTGAGTTTATGTTACATTTTGTTATTCATCCTTTTGTCATGGCTAATTCATAATTTTTATAATTGTGCTGAATCTTATTTTTCATTATAAGATTACAACCTTTTGCTATGGTCATTATTCTATTGTATCCCTCTTTTCATTAGATAAATTCAAAAAGGTTGTAGAACTTTTCATAGAAGAAAAAATGCAATGTTGATTAATAGAAAATTATCTTTAACAGTGTAATAGCACAATTGTTCCCAAAGACTACCTTTTCACAATATTTTATCCAAAACTTTTTTTTTATTTAAGTAACTTGAGAAACGATGACGTTTATCCATTTCTTCAGTAATTCAATTCTTATTAGACGAGACTTTATATGAAACTCTTTTGTATTCTACGGGTAGAAAATAGTTTGTTTGATTCAATGTGTTTGTATTTTTCCAAATAGTTGCTACCATCTTTTAATATTTGCCAACATAGTTTACACCGATTCCATGGGTCATTTTCTTGGATTAGTACTGTAGGTTATGTTCCATATGGTTTTATTCATGTACTAATACAATAATACTTTTTTACAGTATTGGATAGACCTTAAACATAGGATACAATCTAGAGCTGCACAATATAGGCAGGATGCTACAGGTACTGGTGGAGGGTGCTAATGTTGATAACTTATCTGAATTAGATATGGCCATATTGGGAACAGCAGCAGTATTTGGAGATACTGAACTTCAAATTCCATTTAGCGTAAGTACATAACTCGTGGATTAATTTAAATGGGATTAATTTTAATTAATGAAAAATCAGTTTATATTCTCTATCTCTATTGCCCACTTAGTTAAACCACATTTAATTTGATTTTACTTCCTGGCACTCCACATCATCTTCTACCACTTCATCACAAGTACAAAGTTCTGCTTCAAATGGAAAAAATACAAATTTTTATTTTAATTTTTCACTAGTGATGATCTTGTTTATAACATCAGATATTAATTAAAAGCTTTTTGATTTTCAGAACCAGCTCCTTCATCTTCAGCTGTTGAGCCACCACCAGATATAGAATTACAAATAGCTAGGTAGGGTGCACGAAAGTTGTATGCAGACAGATACAGCATTAATGCAACTTAAAAAATTTCACAAGAAATTTGGTCAAGCATCTAAAAACTTCAAACCTGATTGAAATTTAGAAAGGATAAAGTATTCTTATGATTATTGTTTACTTGTGTGACTTAATCTTTGTCATTTTAATAAAAGATATTTGCACAAATCAATTTACTATATTATTCCTATCGCTGTTGTGTAACAATGCCCTATTTTTTTGTATTAAAACTACTTCTTTTAAATCATTTCATAAAAATCACTGACTTATTTTTTGTAATGGCACCTCCAATTCATAAATCATTTATAACTCTTTAATACAGTAAAAAGTTTGTCTCTCAACATATTTTTAAGACAATAAGATTTTTTTTATTGTACTTAAAATAATTGCTTTACAAATTGATGGAAATAAAATAGTGTCATTAAAAAAATTGTATTTGTAGAAATGCATTTGATACATTTTTTGAAGAGAATTTGTCCCCATTAGAAATACATTTAGCGATTTGTACTAATCTTCACAAGCGGCGAAGTTCTAGGCTGTTTCAGTGATTGTCGAACACCGGTTATTTTTTTTTTATTTTTACGATCGTATTTAGTACCATTAATGCTTAAATTGATAAAAAAGTTGAGGGTTCTATTACAAAAAGAAGGTCAGCGGTTTGTTACAAATGCATTTTGCAATTTTTCTTGATCTTCGCTCAAAGCATACTTTTAGGCTTGTTCCAAATCCTCTAAAATAGATATTGTTGAATATGGACATGTGAAAATAAACCTTCCTAGAAAACTAATTCTGTAAACATTAACATTTTCTTTCCAGTGGTTGATAAAACCTTTTTAAAGCAGAGCTATCATTAAGCATAAGCATAAGACAATGAACATTATTTCATGGAAATTTAAAATGTTCGATACAGTAGATAATACAAATTCTAATACTCCTGTGCATCGCCCTATGGTATTTCTGGTAAGACCGATTCTTAATGGATGTCCAGAGTCACCTGTAAAAATATATCTTTCATTATTACTCATCTTCTAGCAGGCATATAACAATAATTACAACTAAAGTAAAAAAAATCAAAGTAAATATTAGTGCTGAAATCAGTATGTTGCCTAAAATATGTGAAATATTAAGACTCGGATTTATTGCTGTATTGTTAATCTCACAGATAATGAGTCTGAGGTATTGAGCTTACCAGGTAATGTAAACTTCCATGTGTTGAAAATTTTTGATGTAGCTGAACTCATTAGTTTCTCAGTTAATGATCCAACATACAATTTTGATATCTCACTTTCTTAATATGAATGGCAATATAATTACTATCCTCTCTGACAGTGTTTGAGGGAAGTAAATATGCTTAGATAGAATGTCTGGATGATGTAGTGCTTTGGACACACTAGGTTGACTGAGCCCATGTAAATAACCCATGCCAATATGTTTCTGGCAGGAACCAGAGGCCAGCACCAGAAGTGCTGCTAATACCTAAAACCAATATGTTTCTATACTGCGGTAGGAAGGTGCAAGTAAGCTTATTTGATAATCACTATGAACTTTAAGTCATAGATACTGAAAAATACGTCGTAGGCGAGAAGTTTGCCGTCTTTGATCGTGCATTCTTTCGCTTTCCAATGCTTCCATAAGTAAAAATGCACGAGCCATCCAGAGAATCAAAATTGCTCAAAATACAAATTTGGAGCATACAATCACTTCTTAGACTCGCCAAGCTATTTTATTCTTTATTTGAACTTGTTATACTTACCTTTCTTGTTAAAAAAATGAATAGTTTTGACCATGTTATCCAAACAAAACACTAGCAACCGACTAGTCGACTACCCCAGAGCAGTTGTTAATTTGACAGTACAAATCGCTAATACGTTGCTGTTGGGTCGCTGTCAATGAGTTAGGGAATACCAATTTTTTGATACTCCTAACAAAAGAATGCACTTTTCGTTCACAAGTTACTCCATAGAGGCGCCACCGTAGCCGGTCGGAGATTGAGACGCACTGACTGATACGAAATTTGGGTTTGACAGCAACTATCGACCAACTCGCGTCGGTTGCCGTTCGGTTGGAAGTTAGGTAATAAGCCTGCGGGTGTTGCAACTGGATGCTGAAGTCTGACGTCACACGTAACGTACAGACGGAATAAAAATATTCTCGCGGGGCGTAACTTTGATGGACTGTAACTTTTTTGTTCTTAGATATAAATTAATAATTTTTTCACCATCTTGTTTTCCCTGATAACAAAAAAATGGAGAACTTGTCCATTCCATTGGATTCTTGTCTCAAATACACTTACTTAAGATTCAAAGCTAGAAATTAGTTACGCATCCACTTTTTCTTATCTATTCTGAAAATTACATATGTAAATTTGCTGAATTTCAAAAATGAGAGGGATAAAAAATATTCACTATACAAGCCATATACATGTTAACAGTAATTACTCACAACGCGGGCGCGGTGGCGATTTCCCGTAATTCTCCTCAAAGTGTTTCAGAACGAACAACATATAAATAACCCGTCGGGCACAGCTAATAGATATACGTCATTGGCAACATATTCAGTAATGATTTTCTCACACATCAAATATCACTGATTTTATACACATGCAGACCAATACACATAATCATCCAGATGCTATCTTGCTATGCAACCAGCTTTCTTCTCAGAGATGAGAACTACAGGCCATTCGGCTTCACAAAACATATGCAACCAACATTGCGTGTAGTTTAGTTGAGTCATTCCTCAATAGATGGACACTCACAATAATCCTAGTGAGCAAACGTGGAATGACTGTTTGCACCCTAAAAACTACCTAATCTGCAAGATGACATTTTATAGGTTTTTTACTTGATACTCGTACCGCTCCAAGCCATAGCCGGTCCCTCCACTCTGAGAAAATTTACTAACCTTCGCTATTCAAAAAATTTTGGAGCCTATTCATAATCATAATATACAATAGGTTTCCTTTTGCCAAACTCTAATCGTCCCCCTAAGTAAAATTCTTGCGAGCGCCCGAGCCTCGCGCGACAAAATTATCTCATTTATTTCGTTCGTTTCGTTTTATAAGTAACAAATACCGTCCCAATATTTCGTGGACGTAGAACTCGATTGGACATGATTTATCTGTATGCAAAAGTACTTCGTTTCTCCGTCAAAGTTTTCTTTCAGTAACACATTTTCTAAAATATTTTAGGATCCAATAATCCACTTTGAATGAAATTTGGAACACATTCGTTTTACTAGACAATCTGATATTTGTTTTTTACAAAAAATTCTAAATAGTTCGAGGAGAAAGAAAACTACATCTACCCCTTCATAAATTAGAGCAGAATTGTTTGTAAACTTTCCTCATTTTTTTTATTTAGCAGATCTTTTTAATTATTTCATTTATTTAAATTTACCTTGTAGATGTACTGCTAGAACTTAAAAACTGTTTAGCATTTCATACTTGTTTTAAAGAAGCCTAAAAAGTCTATTTTCCTTAAAATGTTTCAGTTTCGATTCACTTCGAGAATATCAAGATTTATGAAGAACTTGCGAGCTGTTTAGTTTCATCACGGTCTAGTATGTCATGTTGTAGTTTTTAAGCAGTTTTAATGATTCTCCTAGTTAAATCTACTTGATCTTAAGTTGATTTTGTCTCTAAATAATATATTTCAGGCTATTTCTTCAGCTTTTTTGAAACAGTTTTCTTAAATGCAATGAGTAGGCTATACTAGAACTGAACGCTCTTAAATTAAAGAATTTAGTTATCGTAAGGACCTGACTAACCTAACATTTCTTCCATGTCCAAAGGAAACATCGCATTTTGTTTAGGGTGAAACAGTGACGTATTGTTAATTTTAGCAATTTTATCATTCAAAACAGTTAAAAAAAAATTGGAAGTACAGTTCGTATTTTAAGGTTAGATGTATGTACATTAAAACATTTTTTTACTCAATTTTGATTATTAACTTAAAGGCGTAAATCCAATTTATTTTAACATAAAAGATGAAATTATCTTTCTTGCAAACTGAATTATTTCACGTTTCGAGATTTTTTGGTATTTTTTTTTTATTATTGAATTCAGAAATTTTGAGGCCTGCGTTTTTAAAACCTTATTACTTGTTAGCATTAGTATTAATATTAGAACGTACCTATTATATAGTACGTATAAAAATTTGTTGGCCTCTACTACTGTCTTTAAACTGATTTTATGTTATAAGAAATAAGTATATAGTTTGAAAGAACCATTTTCATTTAACGTTTATGTTAACAATAAGGTAAACTGACTTTAAAAAATACACTTGATAAATACCTTTATGTTTACTTTAAGATGTACTTAAACATATTTTAAAAGCACCTCCGCAGCCCTTTAGAAACATTTGCTCAAGATTATAATGTTTTATGAAGGTTTATTATTTTTGTTTTATCGACCGCTTCCAGCGTGGGCGCTTTAATGCTGTTGGCGAGTCTTTTACAACCTTAAGGTTTAATTGCAGTCCATTATACATCTTAAACACATCCTTGAAATACTTAATAGACATGCTGGGTGCTACTCGGATACTGCTAAAAAATTGAAACACACCCTCCTTCACCCATATAAAAGGTCAAAAAAAGAAGACTTTTGTTTTTTCGGTTTTTTGCCCCTATCTCTGCCCCCACTAGATCGATCTCAAGAAACTATAAAACCTTTTCATATTTGACACAGTAGAAACCTTGAGTCAGAGTGGCATTGAATCCAAGTTATATAGAAGTAAGGCAGCACAAAGCGCCATCGATGACACCAGAATCGGCCACTGCGGAAAGCGCGTGATCGATTATATAGTAAGTACATATATAGTTTGTATAAAAGTCAAGGCTTAGCGAAGCGACAGACACACAAACGGATTGCAACGAGTAGCATGCTATTTCGTGATGTACATGACGTGTAACATCCAAAATACATATCTCATTTTCGATTTTTTTACGATTACAATACTTTTTCTTCGGTGACGTAGGAGGTAAAGGTAAATTCTCAAAATTATGATCTCTTGCCAATAGGTGCCAGAATGCAGACGCTTCAACGTAATAGGTACGTAGTTGCTGTTGTAATTGAAAACTTTGTATAATTATCTCCTTCTAGTGATTGAATGACGTCTTTTCTTAGCATCATCGTTGAAAGTTATAATGAATATCATGTTTACCTGTATACGTACGTACGCGACACATGTTTTGTAAAGAATCAATATATCGTTTATTTGTTTCTCCCTTCTATCAAGCCATAACCATTAGGTTGGCATTCAATGAAAGCAATGTATGTTTCAAACCACCACTCACACACAGTACAACATCGATCACTTCACCTCCGAAGTATGATAATAAAGTATTGATCGTTTCTTCGTAAGCGTGTGCACCTATTAGATCTAAATAGGCAAGCAATACACAATGTCCATTAATTAATTTTCGCTAACCGTAGGTGAGTATGTTGAACCCTATATTACAAAGCAAACAATACTAGTTTCAAAGAATATGGTTAGTTCACTGTTTGAGGCATAAAGAGCTTTATGCGCAAAATACGGGAGGCTGCTGCTGTTAAAATATACGAGTAATATTTATAGCTAAAACAATATAAACTCTAATCAAGTACAGAAAATATGCTATGGGAATAAATTAGACTTGCTCAGATTGTTACTTCCCCCGCACGGAAAAAAATCCAAAATAATATATTATGTTTTTCGGTGGTTATATGACATGTACATCACAAAAAACCATGTCACTCATTTCCGTCGATCTGATTGTCGGTCTGTCTGTCCTCTAACTTGAAAGGTATCGGTCAGATTTTGGTGAAATTTACACACAAGGTATTACTGAGCCTAGTACAAAAAGCTTAGTGGTTGAAAGTCGGTCCAGCGGCGGCAGAAAAAAATTCCGAAATCAAAAAAGAATCGCTCAGTCTTTATTTTTGATGTTTCAGAAGACCCTGATCATTTTTCAATTCTTTTTAGGGGTAACAAATGGGGTATGGTTTGTTGGGGGGAGGAGGTGGCAGAAAGTGTAACGCGATTTTTTGGTATTAGTATTAATATATACTTCCAGCCCCGACAATTCGACGCACCTGTTAGACATATTTCGCACATACTCCGTACATATGCCCGTAAAATTTAGAACGATAGAAAAATGTTTTCGACAAGAGTATTAGCATCTGCAGACTTCAACGTCCGCGGTCGGCGCGCTGGTGTTTGTATTTGCCCTAGATGACTCGTGCTCTGTGGTCGCTCTGTCGCGTGGTATACATCATGCATTCATATATTGTGTCATTATAGTGAAAAAAAAGTGATGAAGTTATTGTACTCACCTGTTTGACGGACTTGAACTTTTTTCTTAGAGCGTTGAACTTAAACTTTCACGTTTTGTATTATGAGCGCAGTTAAGCTTCCATTTCTACACATATACAGGGTGTAAAGTTAGTAGCGGATCAACGGAAGTCAGGTGATAGAGTGCCTCAAAACCTATCGAATGAACCCCCATGTGTGTGGTCCGAAATTTTACAGTTCACGAGATATTTGCATTTTTTTTTCGAAAAAAAACAGGATAATGCGCTTTCAATCGCAATTACAGCCATTAGGTTTAGGGCTGTGATTTTCTTTCTAAGTTGAGCTAAATGGTAAGTTTTAGCAATGGTTATGTCACTTTTTAACAGAGCCAATTAGAAATCAAAAAATCTTAAATTCAGGTACGAAGATGAACCTTTTTTCGACAGCATCTTATGGACAGATGAATCCAACTTTAGCCGAAATGCAATATTCAACATGCACAATTTCCATTCATGGAGCGTGGAAAATCCACACGCTATTCGCTGACACAGCTCTAAACGTCATTCCGGCGTTAATTTATGGGCTGGAGCACTCAACATAACATTAATTGGACCATATGAATTGCCCTTCAGGTTGAATGGTCAGTTATATCTTGCTTTTTTAAAAGGCAGTTTGCAGGAGCTGCTAGAGGATGTACCTTTGGACGTTCAAAGCCGCATGTATTTTCAATGCGATGGTGCCCCATAGCACTTTGCACGGGATGTACGGCATTACTTAGACAGTGCCTTTCCTGGGCGTTGGATAGGAAGAGGTGGACACATACGATGGCGTCCAAGGTCACCCGATTTAAATCCTCGGGTTTATTTATATGGGGGTTTTATACGGGGATAATCTATACTTCTGAATATACAAATGTCAACCAACTGCGCCATAGAATTGATGAAGCAAAAATAAAAATAATGGAAAACGCATTTCAATTTTATTAGAAGGTGTCGCTTATGTATAGAAAATAATGGATGCCATTTCGAACATGTTCTTTAAAAGTTATTTAAATTAAATTATCTTTCACATTTGTCGGTAAATCGCCATTAAGAGCGGTTGATATATTGTTGAGTAAAATGAATAATGAAATACAACCTCAATTTTTTGTACCGCCCTCCAAAGTTGTGAGATGGAAGAGATTTTCCACAATAAAATCAATTTAAGATTTTTTGTGTTGATTTCTAATAAGCACTTTTAGAAAGTGACATAACCATTGCTGAAACTAACCATTTAGCTCATCTTAGAGAAAAATACAACCTCAAACCTAATGGTTTTGTTGTAATTGCGATTGAAATTTCATTATCCCGGTTTTTTCGAAATATCACAATTGCAAATAACTATAAAATTTCAGACCACACATATAGGGGTTCATTCGATAGGTTTTGAGGCCCTCTATCACCTGACTTCCGTTGATCCTTTACTAACTCCACACCCTGTACATGTTTTCTGTCTTCGTGTGTTTTTATTGCAGATTTGAGGTAGAACGTGTTGCTACCTTGTGCTGATATAAGAATAAAAGATGTTAGATACCCAAAAACAAGTGAATTTCGGACAAAAATGCCAAAATTGCGAACTTTGGGCTCTAACAGAACAATGAAATACTAAAATGGAAAGAAAAATCATCTCGATGCTGTTCTGAGGAGAGCTGTCCGTCTGATCGGTTACTCTTCTCTAACTGACAATCTCGGTTCCATTTCGCACCGACGGAACGTCGGCGATCTAGTGCTCTTCTACCACTATGTCAGCGGGCTTTGCTCCTCAGAGCTCTCCTCCTTGGTGCCGCCGCACAATGTGTCTGGCTGAATTTGGCTTCCCATCCTAGACGTGTCGAATATCCAGAACTGGCCAACACGATTGCTCCGTTATCCCTAGTGTATCGAGATTGTGGGACAATCTACCTCACGAGACTTTTCTCAGTTCAATAAAACTTAGGCAGTTCAAAAGTCGGATTAACAATTAAAAAAAAGTAAACTTATAGGTTTGGCTCCTAACAATCTAGGAAGAAGATGAATAAGGCAAAACGCAAGTAACCCAGTTCCTTTCCAGCATCTACTCATATTGAGGAAGGGCGTTTCCACCAAAGTATGTCCTCAGAAATGATAATTTCCAGGTGCTTGAATTGGTATTAGAGCTTACTATTCGGTAGGACGCAGTACTAAGTATTACACTACAGTAGTCCTGAATCCCTAGGCAACAAAAATCTTAAGGTATTTCGCCCTACATCCCCCGAGAGTAATTATAGCTCTCAGCTCAGCCTAGTCTTTTCCAACGTATCCACAAAGATTGATCCGACACTTTTAATGATCGCACGTAAGGTGGTGTTACTGGAGGAATTAATCAAATTCACAGAAGAGAGACAAAAACTCATCAACTACGACAGGTATCTTACGACCTTAAGGTAAGTATGTCATCCCAACCACAAACTTTGTTAGTCTCTATTTGAAATGTTCCATAAGCTCCATGTGGATCATTCCCATATTCCCTTGCTAATCATATAGCAGAATATTTGCATAGGTCAGTTGCCTAAGTCGGTATCTTTGACACGGATTGAATTCTAGTCCCCGGAAAAAAGAGAGATCACAGTACCTATTCAGGGGAAACTTTTAATCCGCAATATTAAAAGTTCGATCTGGACTATGGAGAGAAGATTAACCGACTGAACCTACAATATAATTGTAGTCTAAAAATTATGTTCATTGGCGGCTTTTGTTCCAGGATGGGCTGCAATTCATCGAAAAACCTGACAGTTGAACCTTTTAATGGCCACGTATCTGAAAGTCATAGCCAGATAAGAAGAGCTGCTACAGGACTTAGCAATATTCCACCACTGGAAGCAGAAGATCTACCAGAAGAACTTTTAGAAAATGCCACTGTCAATAACGTACAACAATCAAGTAAGATGTACTTTTAGGTACCTACGACCCAAACGTCAAAAGTTTCTGCAAGAGCCATATGGGGAATGGCTTTCGAAATATTTTTTAATGTAGTTTGTAAGTTTCAACATGAAGAACAAAGGGTGTTGATGGGCCAAAATATTTTCGATAAGTTTTTTTTTCGAGATACGTTTCAGCAATCCGTGCCCTGTTAGCATATTGAGTGTTCAGTGCTCGATATTTTATAGTTGTTTGCTTTTAATTTACATTCTTATCATCACCCTTACTAGCAGGTTTTCAAAAATTACAATTCTGTCAGATGTGAAAGATGGCCCAAGTTTGCATTGAAGGAGTACTGCGAGCTTTTTCAAAAACTTTTCAAGAATACCCTGTGGAAATGTATTTGAAAACAGTTCAGTGTGTCACTCTACTGAGCTGCATTGTTTTTTTATAGATTTCGATATCTTCAGTTAAGTATATTTGCATCTGCACTATATGGAGCTTCTTTTGAGACATTGCCCACTTTGCCCAAAAAACATCAACCCACGTCTCAGCCACTTTAATAGATATGATGGAAAAATATACACTTTTAAAGGGACTGTTACTTCCGAAACCTCGGTGTTTAACTTGCGAGGGAGGGGGTCGAACTCAGAGAAATTGAGAATACTGCCTGGTAGATGGGGTCGGGTATGTCGAATCACCAGTCAGATGTATAAATATGTGCAAATAATCTTCAATAATAGCGCTTATGGAGGTCCCAGAGTAACGCAATTAACCAACACTGGCACGCAGAGTCTACTTACTTGACACCAGTCAACTCTCAAAGTGCCCAAAGTAAGAGCTATAGACCAAACGGGACGGTACGGTTCGGCATTCGGTCGGTATTCGGTTAGATTTGTTTCACCGGTCAGCTCTTATTTGCCACAAGAGAAGTCCACCATGGCCAACGTAGGCTTCGACCAAGTTCAAACGTAGATAACAAGATTTAATAAGCAATATCTCATTTACGCCGTTCCCGTTTTAGATTTCTACCTTTCAACTAGAATTCACAACAATTCACTAAGGCTTAAATATAAATTACGTTAAGGCTGGTAAACCCATTCATAAACGGTTTTGTTCTAAAATATCCTCAAAGTCTAACTCACAGTTATTTTTTTTTCAGCAAACTATTTCAGTCAATATTCAAAAATAAACGGAAAGCAAACAAATCTCTTCTCAAAATTCGAATGTCAAAGATATACATGGAAAACGGTACACTACAATTTATATGACTAAAGAACGAGTCAATCAGATAAAAATAAAATCACTCGGATTCTGGATTAGGCTCTAAACGTAACTACCGCGCAAAAAAACCTCGGCCGGTCGACCCGTCGGACCTTGGATTCCTTGTATTTGAGACAGCACTTATTTAGGTACCTAATAATTTTTCGATATCGATTTAAGAACTGATCTTACTTGAAAAAGGTTGTCTCCTCTAACTGCCTCACTATATGCCGATAATATACCACTAGTCACTTTTGATTGATTCTAAGACCCGTAATTCCCCAGAATTTTGAAGATTATTCCAGAATCGATGAAAACACAGTCTTTCCGTGACTCTGCAGGACCGTCCTCCAAACACCCCTAATAATCCCTACTAATATCCTAAATGTGGAAGTATGTTTGTACGCTTGTATGTTTGTATGTTCCGTTTTCACGCCAAATCGGCTAAGCCTATTTTGAAACATTTTAGCACATATTCGTACATAGATTGGACCTTGGAGACAGGATACATTTGTTGTGAAAATCAGAATTGAAGGGTTGAAGTGAAAAGCTACTTTGAGGAAACTATTATTTTTTAAAGCAGCAGCAGATATGATATCCTCAACTGGGGCAGGAGGTGATTTAACACTTCAAAAGGGAACCTTATCGCTTTTCAAATTTACATAAACTCCCGGATTGCCGGATAACTACGACCCATGAAACCTCAAACAGTCACAATCAGTTCGTACGCAAAAACTGAGAAAATGGTTTTACTAACCCTACACGATCAAAAGCCCGAAAAGAAAGTTGCGTTTGAAGAAGTTTTGAATGATGATTAAGCTGTTATGATGTCAGTCACCGATGGATATTAAGCCGATATTAAAAATCGATCCAAGGGGATATTGAAGTTTCATGCGAATGAACTGTTATACCTACTCATCGTCTTACCAATTTATCATTTTTTGATGGTATGCTTTTCACTCATTCGCGTGATTGAACTTATAATACCTATCCTATTCGGAAAAGTAAAAGAATATCCAAGTACATACACATATAACTCAATTTTCTACCTGTTGTCACTTAAAAATAAACATTGTTTTATTTCATAGTCTGAACAAATATACTGGGTGACTTTAAATTACGCATAACCCATAAAAATGGTTTACTAAAAAATTGAATCTGTACTCCCAAAGCAATGTGGAGCATAAATCAAATAAAATCTATGAATGCCGTTGTATGCGATATATAGAGTCGACCTACTTTCCACACAGTTTATTCAGAAGATTCTGATGAAGTCGAATCCTGACTAGATATGCTGTGTTATGGACTCTACTGGTATCTCGGACCATAAACTTGGATTATTTCACTTCGAGTTACCGGCACCGAAAAGAAAACAAATGATTACAACCATCAGAGACTTCAAAAAACTTTATGAAAAAGCACGATCTCTCCCGTTACGGCTTAGATAAACAGGTACCTAACTTTAGATGACAAAAATAATCAGAATCAACAAACCACCAGCACCTTGTTCGACTGACGAATTGCGTGCTATCCTTAAAGAAAAAATAAAGATTATAATTCATTTAAGTCGGGAAATACAATACAAAGTCGCGAAAAATTTAAGTTATCTGAAGAAACGCGCTCTTACAATGACAAGACTCAACAAAAGAGCATACGTTCAACTTATCTTTCATGAGTTCAAAAACAGCTATGGAAATACCTTAAACTTTATGATGTAAATTCTCGTAACAAATCAACCTTGCCAGCCCAGTTTGATGCCCTAACTAAAATTAATAATAACTGTTTATCAGAATCCGGTCACAAGCCTACAAATCCTCAAGTAAGCCAATATATGAAAAACAAACTGAATTCTGAATATTCCTTTTTATGAAATGCTGTTAAGCCTAGAGACGTGCTAGAAGTCATAGGTAGCTTGAGGTCCGACTCGAAAGAGATTGGCGGCATATCTGTAACAATGTTAAATCTATGCTTACCCGTTAGTCTCCATCATATCGTACACATTGTAAACAAGTCTTTGAAAACGGGATACTTTCCTACGGGATGGAGAGCAGCGGTGGTTGACCAGTTCCAAAAAAAAGCCAATCCATCCGACCTAGGTGGCCTCAGATCTATCTATCAGCTTATTACCCGTTCTGTCATTTTTTTTTTAGATAATAGTTAATTTACAAATTGCCACAAGTCTTGAAAAATACAATATAATGCTCGTCACCCAATCTGGCTTTAGACCTCCGTTCTCCTCAATCTTCAGGATAGTAAGTTATGTGCCTTAGATACAAAAATGGCATTGACTCATGTATGTATTGACTACTCTAAGGCTTTTGATAGTATCAACCATGAGCTTTTATTTATGAATCTTAGATATATTGGTCTTGATAAATTAGCAGTATATTTTTTTTAAAATGATCTTCACGGCAGAAGTCAATGTATTTTATTGAACCAGAGAATGTCCTCAACATCTTTGATTCCTTCTGGTGTGCCTCAAGGTTCTACATTAGGACCTATACTATTTTGAATTCATACTTTTGATGTAAACACAATTATTAATAACTCCCTTATTCAATCACTAGCAGATGACACTCAGTTAATATATAGTTTAAATCCAAATGAGGTAGCAAGTACAATAAAAATTTTACCAAGCGATGTTAAAAATTTGATGCAATATTCTTCTAATCACAATCTTAAAGTAAATCCAGAAAAATCCACAATGTTATTGTTTTGTAATGAAAAAAATAAAAATGCTGCTTCATTTCACTTAAAGATTTCTATAAATAATCAATTTTTAGAGTTTGCTGATTCTGCAAAAATACTTGGAGTGGTTTTTGACACTAAAATGACGTATGTTGAACCTGTGAAGAGTCTGTCCCAAAAACCCTATCTCAGGTTACCTACTCTTATAGCAAATCGATATTTACTGAATCTTAAACGTCGTAAAAAACTACTTGAGTGTTTAGTTGTATCTGTCCTAAATTACTATGATAGCGTCTATTTTCCGTCATTAGATTGCTTTACAAAAAGCATTAACCAGATCATCCAATGTTTCAACCAATTACCAAATAGTGAAGTGGATGAAATTTGAGAATTTAGTAAGCTACCACTATTTAATTTTCATACATTAATTGTTTCATAAGTAAAAGTCCTTATACCTCAGAGCAGAATTGTTTTTAGATGACTAGTAGTGATAAAATAAATATGTTTGGTCAACTACTATATGGACATAATTATTGTTGAACAACAAAGTCGATTATTATTATATCTTAAACCTCTACAGTGTTACATCTCAAACTATCGGAAATCAACCTATCAAATGTTTGTTTCAATGGCAGGTATATAGACTATATGTGTGTGCATATTCTATATTATGCGCATTATTGTTGGAATCAGACACTCTTTAATAGTAGAACATCTGTCGCTGATACAGTGCCAACGATGTAGCTTCCTTTGATATTACTCTAGGACGCAAAGGCTACGTCAATTACATGATCAAACGAACTTACCTGTAAGTGATGTTCGATCTTAATTATGTATAGGCTTCGTCGAAGTAAATAGAATAACTTCTCGGTCATTCCTGGCCGAACCCACGAGTTCAAAACGCGGACGCAGCGAATAAAAACGGCTCAGTGCAACTGAGAAATCTCAATTTCAATAATATTCAACCCGATCCGGATGCTGTCTGTTTCAATTAGGGGCAGAATTTGCACACTTTGACCTGAGGTTAGACCTGTTGCTGATTTCGACATCCGAATACCTACAGGTATATA